TTACTATCATTTTTTATTTTGATACTCAAAGTGTCTCCAATATGGAAAGAAGGAGCTCTTTTAAGCTGACATTTATGTCCTTTTGATACGTTTTCTTTAAATAATTCCTTCTTTCTGGCTACATAACGTTCCAGGCTCACCTTGTACTTTCCCTGCCTCCATCCTGAAACTGGCCATTTCTGCAAGGATCCAATTACTTTGAGCAGAAAGTGATATTTAGAAAACAAATGGGCACTGGGTACATTCATTGCTACCAGGGTGCTGTTGCTCCCAGGTCCTACAAGCAGGCAAAGCTAGGAAAGAGCTATAATCCATTCACTCTTGGGGTGCCGAGTGGCTCAGTCAGTTAAGCATCTGACTCTCGATTTTGGCTCAGGTCATGATCTCATGGTCCTGGGATCAAGCCCCTCATCTGGCTCCATGCTCAGCATGAATTCTCTCTCTTGCTCACTCTATAGGCCCCCCTCCCATCTCTCAAAAAACACATTGAAGAAATAATAATAATTCAGGGGCGCCTGGGTGGCTCAGTCAGTTAAGCGTCCAATTCTTGCTTTCATCTCTGGTCACAATCTCACAGTTTGTGAGCTCAAGTCCCAGGTCGGGTTCTGTGCTGACAGCATGGAGCCTGCTTGGGATTCTCTCTCTCCTCTCTATGCCCCTCCCTCACACACATCCCTCCCCTCAAAAAAAGAAAATTCCTTCACTCTCTCATATACATTTCTATTTATTTCTATGTCTATATATTCAAAACCAGCAGTACAGACAGATACATCCAATGTCAATCCAGTGCCACGGCGTTCATTCTAGTTTTCTACTTTTCCATATTTGTAACTCCCCTTTCCGGATTGTTAGAAGCCTGGCCCCGTTACCCTCAACATATTCACTCACTCCGTCAAAGCCCTCTGCCTTGCCCGTGATTGCCCCATCCCCCATGCAGGTACCTTCTGACTCGGCCAGGCAGACAGGTCTCCCTCCCACCTACCCCCCTTGCAGGGATGACTCCCTCGATCAATCGCACCTAACTGCTTCTGTACTAAATTGTTCAGCAAAGGAAGAGGAGGCAGAAGAGTGAGGAACAATTCTTTAAAACTGCTACATGTGTAAACTGTGACAATAACGTACAAAGTAAAGTTCTTTCTAAATTGCCCGATAAAGTACCAGATGTTGATAAGTTAGCAACAGTAAATGTTTAAACTTAAGGAAAGACATGCTACTAGAGATACTGTTCCAACCGGAACTTTAATTCTCTAAAAAAAAATCTAAACATATTTCCCATGCCTTCCCACTTTCTCCTGTCAGCACTTGTGACAGTGTTTTACAAGTTACCTGAAATACAGTCAGAACTTAATGAATCTTGCTGAATGAATAATTAATAGCAGGTACTAAAACTGGCAGTGAATAACTTGTTAAATAAAGTATATATCAAAAGTATCTGCTCACCTGTTTCCATACAAGTCAAAAACATAGATATTTCCTTGATGGTCCCCGGCAATTAAGCAATCACCTGAGCTATCAAAAGCCACGTTCAAAAATCGCAAGACTTTGGGAAGGTAATCAGAAGAGCTGTGAATGATGTTCACTATAATTCTGTCAAAAACAAACAGACATTTAATTCTATGTCAAGCATTACTTGTTACTATGAAAAATACGGGTTTTATAATATACTACACTGACTTTGAAGTTTCCTGCCTACCCGCTCTTCCCTCTCCTCCCGCTGCTCTCCTAGAAGCAATCCGACAGTGATTTCTTTTTTTTAATTTTTTTTTTAACATTTATTTATTTTTGAGACAGAGCATGAACGGGGGAGGGGCAGAGAGAGAGGGAGGCACAGAATCGGAAGCAGGCTCCAGGCTCTGGGCCATCAGCCCAGAGCCTGACGCGGGGCTCGAACTCACGGACCGCGAGATCGTGACCTGGCTGAAGTCAGACGCTTAACCGACTGCGCCACCCAGGCGCCCCGAAAAATTTCAGTATCTTAAAGATATCTTAATGAGATTGTTTCTGTACTATAAAGTGAAGTGTTCCAAAGTGAATTAAGCATAAATGAGTTTTATTTTCAGCTATATTTGTTTATTTTTGAGACAGAGAGAGACAGAACATGAACAGGGGAGGGTCAGAGAGAGAGGGAGACACTCAGGGGCACTCCTCCATCTGTGTGCTTCCTTGTAAAATCTAATTCTAGCAAGAATCCTGCTCAGCCCATTTAATTAGAACCCCTGGGCGCGCCTGGGTGGCTTAGTCAGTTAAGCGACCAACTTCAGCTCAGGTCATGATCTCAAGGTTTGTGGAGTTCGAGCCCTGCGTTGGGCTCTGTGCTGACAGCTCAGAGCCTGGAGCCTGCTTTACATTCTGTGTCTCCCTCTCTCTCTCTGCCCCTCTCCTACTCGTACTCTCTGTCAAAAATAAATAAAATGTAAAAAAAAAAAAAAAAAAAAAAAAAAAATTAGAACCCCTGACCCTTTGGGGTGCTTGGGTGGTTCAGTAGTTGGGCGTCTGACTGGATTTCAGCCCAGGTCACAATCTTGTGGTTCATGGATTTGAGCTCATCGGGCTCTGTGCTGACAGTGCAGAGCAGGCTTGGGATTCTCTCTCCCCCTCTCTCTGCCCCTTCCCTGCTTACATTCTCTCTTAAAATAAAATAAAATAACCCCTGACCCTCAAAACCTGATCATCCTTGATAACTGATCAATCTGATCACCCTGGCCTATCTTCATCAAGAATCTCCTTAGAGGCTGGTTTAGGCAGAAACCCATTATCCTGGATGTTTCATCTTAGTAATTTTCTACCCACTGACTCCCACCCTGCTCCTTGGCTGTACATTCTCACTTGCCCAGGCTGTATTCAGAGCTGAGACCATTTCTATACTGAGGTCTCCTCTCTTCTATTGCCATAGTTCCTGAATAAAATCTGTTTTTACCACTTTAACTACTGTCCAGATTTGGTTTTCCTTTGACATCCCCAAAGGGGAGAGGGGGAGAATAAATGTGTAATAACATCAAAATGTTCCCCAGCAATTAAAATCAGACAGAGCCGACGACTTTTCCCTCCACTCTTTTTTCTGTAACATTTTATTATGGGTTGGAATCACAAAATTACAGGATCATTGTTCAAAATAAGGAAGGTAAAGAAAAACACTAATAAATAAATAAATCTGATTATAACCCTACCACCTAGATATAATCATAATTAATAGCAACATTCTGCCCTTTTGGATTTTCATATAACTCAAGCATTTATTTTGGAACAACTGCCTTTCAATTGCTCATAGGTTGCCCGACAGGTTCTCAGTCCTTAAACATAATTAAAAAATCAAATATTTACCAAACACCAAGATGCTTGAGATACTATTTTAAAGTCTTTGTAACGTGCTAAGACAACCCTGTCTGGTAGGCATTATTAGCTTCACTTAAAGTCTTAGTGATTAACCTGCCCAAGGTCACAGAGTTAGTAAATGGACATTTACTTCAACTAAAGTCCATCTGACTCCATGCGATAACAATGAGCTTTAATGAACAAAAAGAAAGCTACATTTTCATGGAAGCAGCAAATAACATTTGCATAAAACTTGTTTCTTTTCTGTTTTTGAATCTTGCATGTATATCCAGATATTTTTTTAACAGTAAGAAATAGAATTACTGTGGGCTGGCAATAACTTTCAGACCATTTAAAAAATATCAGAAGAAGGGGAGTATTTATACAAACTCCATGTTTGGAAATGAAAATCCCTGCTGAAGAATCCCTACTCTAAACAAAAATTTTTATTCAATTTTTATTCAGAGTTGATGGGAAAGCAGCATTGCTAGGAGGCTGACAGCAATTGGAAACCAAACAAGCAGCCAGTGGGACGTCCAGCACCAGGCTTTGAGCAAACATAGCTGGCACTTAAAGTCTGTTGATTTGTTGAGGAGCAACCAAAGGGTCGACAGCAAAGTTACTAGAACAAGAAACATGAATCCAAGGGATGCAATAAAGGCTATGAAATTCTGGGAAATTAAAAGCAATAAGATCAATCTGTGTGCCACCATTGGAACCAAGATGGCACCACTTGGGGCAAAGGTTTCCATTAAAGTCACACCAGAGTGGCTAAGACTCAAACAGTTTAAGTATCTGGGACCAAAATGAAAAGAAAAGCTGAGGAGGGAGGGAAAAACAGGCAGCGCAGAGGATTTTTAGGGCAGTGAAAATACTTTCTGTGATTCTATAATGGTAGAGACAGGTCCTTGTACAGTTGCCCAAACCCATAGAAATACAACACCAGGAGTGAATCCTAGCATAAACTGTGGCCTTTGGGTGATAATGATGTGTCAACCTAGGTTCATCCACTGCAACATATATACGTCTCTGATGGGGGATATGGATAATGGGGGAGACTATGCATGTGTGAGTGCAGAGGGTATACGGGAAATCTCTGTCCTTTCCTCTCAATTTGGCTGTGAACCTAAAACTGTCCGAAGAAAATGAAAGTCTATTAAAAAACAAACAAAAACCCAGCAGCAGGGCTGGCCGTACTAGGAGGCCACCTTGCACTGGTAGTTTGTAACCCTGTCATCCCTGCCACACACACTAACGTGTAAGCTCCAGAAAACCGGAAGTTTGTTTTGTTCCCATGCCGTCCCCCAGAGCTTCCAAGCTTGGGAGAGAGTTGGTGCTCAACAAATAGCTGATGGATGCATGCCTGTCTGAATACATACAATGATACAAGATGGGTAACTTGGGGCACTTGGAAGGGGTCGAAGTGCACTGTTCCCCTTCCCCTGCATCATTCCTCGTGAGTTCTTTTCCAGCTGCAATAGTTAACAAATATTTACTGAGCATCTACTGCGCACCGGGAATACTACAGGGCCATTATGGTAATTAGGCAGAGTCCTGGCACAAAGTCTCGCCCACATCACCAACCACCTGCCTCCTGCCCCACGCTAATCTTGTCCAGACCCCCGCCCCCAGGACCGGGAAGAGATCTCTGATGAGACCTCGGCTTCCGGGGCACAGCGAGACTCAAGCTACCAGCCTTTCAACAGATCACCCAGGCCAGGGATCTGGGGCAGGGTCTGAGGCAGAACCCGCCCTTCTACCCGGCGCCATACACCCCTTCCGAAGACCATCCCCAACAGCTCCTCCAACGCCTCTCCAAGGACGCGGACCCGCCCCTCGCGGCCTCCAGGCCCCTCCGCAGCCCATCGCCTTTACCCGTCCCGAGCGGCCGGGGAGGGCTTGCGGTGCCACAACTTGCCGCTCTCCTTGTTGCCCAGGTCTGTGCTCTGCATGGCGAAGCCCCCCGCGGCCGCCGGGGCCCGCCCGATACACAACCGAACCGGCGCCTTCCCAGCAGGCCCCGCGCTCCGGGCCCGGGAAATTTGAGCTCGGGCCCTGGCGTCCTGGATCCCCGCCACCCGACCAACCGAGCGCTAAATACCGCCCTTTTTATTCCCAGCCAATATGGAGGCGCGTTTCCTCCCAACTCCGCCCAAGCGACCCCTGCCGCTCTGGACGATGGAACCGGCCAACGACCTTCTCTTAGATCCCACCCCTTTTAGAGGTTCACCCCACCAGCCCCGGGGCCCAAAGCCTTCTGGGAATTGTAGTTTTCTGCGTGTGGATCCGGGGTATCAGCGATCGGCTTGAGAACTCTGCATTCCGAGGGCGCCGTGGGGTTTTAGGCTCCCGGTGGAAGCAATAAAAATGGTTTTCTCCTGTGGTCTGTACATTCCTTTCTACACTGCGTTTAGGGATTAAGGGGTTGTAGAGACAACTAAAGAGAAGGATCCAAATACATTGAGACTTGAAGTGTTTCTCTTATAGAGTGTTCCTTTGAAAAGAACCTCTATAGTGTACGTTCTTGGCCTTTTCACCATCGTCGTGATTAGTTTTTCAATTCCGTAATCTAACAAGGTGCACCAGTATCATGGAATCCGGCCCACCAGTCACGGACCAGAAAAGCGATGTCATCAACAATCAGCTGCATTGAGGCCAGAGTTCTTTTTTGTAAAAACTCAGCACTTCTATCGTGCCTGCGAGGTATCAAGCATTCTTCTAAGTGCTCATTTAATCCTCATAGCAAACCTACAATGCTGGTAGTACTATTCCCATTTTTTTGTGCTCTGTGAGTTAATGTATTGGTTTTCTGAGGCTGCAGTAATAAATTACCACAAATTAGTTTTTTTTTTTTTTTTAAAAAAAGGTACTCTCTCATGGTTCTGGAAGCCACAGTCAGAAATCAAGGTGTAGGCAGAGCGCTCAATCCAGCGGATCCAGGGAAGATTCCATTCCCTGCCTTTTCCAGCTACTGGTTTCCTTGACTTGGGACCACATCGTTCCGTTTTATCCCTCGATTCTCTGCTTCCATTTTCACATTGCCTTATCTTTTTCCCCTCAGTCTCCAATCTCTCTTGCTTTTCTCCTATAAGAACACCTGTCATTGGATTTAGGGCCCACCCAGATAATCCAGGATGATTTCCTCATTCCAAGATCCTTAATTTTACCTACAGAGACTGTTTTCCCAAATAAGGTAACATTCACATTTTCTGGGGATTAGGTCATGGATATGTATTTTGGGGGCTCACTGTTCAAACCTACTACAGGTAGGTGCTTCTTGTATCTCTGTTTTGCAGACAAGGAAATTGAGTTCATAGGAGAGCCAGGATGAGATTTTTAGTCTTTTCATTCTTGGTCCCAACAGAAAAATAAATTTTTACAAAATTATATGACCATCATATTTGAAAAGCTCAAACTTTACCAGAAAAGCAAAACTCTCACAAAAATTTTCCAATGCAGATTTTAAAACTTTTTGTGTTGTTACTAAGGGGTGACTCTGAGAGACCACACAACTTAAAAAAATTTTTTTTGTTAATGTTTATTTATTTTTGATAGACACACACACACACACACACACACACACACACAGCATGAGTTGGGGAGGGGCAGACAGAGACAGAGACACAGAATCCAAAGCAGGCTCCAGGCTCTGAGCTGTCAGCACAGAGCCTGACCCAGGGCTTGAACTCACAAACCATGAGATCATGACCTGAGCTGAAGTGGGATGCTTAAGCGACTGAGCCACCCACGTGCCCTAAGACCATACAACTTTTAATAACCTTTTGCAGAAGAGACAATCACATTCCTCATTTTTATTTATTGGATTTGAGATGATAATAAGTTATGTGTATGAATGTTTGCATTATTATTCAAGAAACTTAGGGTGCTAAACTTATGGGTGCTTAACTTGAAATAAAGGTTTTTTTCTATCCCATGCAGGTAGCCAAGCAACATTTTTATCAGTAGCAGAGACAAATGTGCTGAATGATTTCCTGAACTACTTTGGTTTAACCTGTCTGCAGTCAAGCTCATATCGGCTGTCACAGCCCATGCGACCATCCTACTCAATTTCAGGTATGTGACAAAGAGGTTTCTATATTACAGATCTTCTGGACTCCCACTTTGCACTTGTCTTTGGATTTAGTTGAGCCAAATCTGAAGGTCAGGCTGGCAACTGAAGAAAACATGCACCCATAGCTGCCAACCTTCTACTTACTGTAATTTCCCAATGTTTATAACCCAAGTTGGTAGACCGTTTCGTAGTTCCTTCCTGAATCATTACTCAGTCAATAACTGATGCATTCTATAAATATATTTTTCAGCTAAATTGAGGTGTAATTGACATTTAATAAACTGTACATATTTAAGTTGTATAATTTCATGATTTGACATAAATAGACTCCTATGAAGCCATCATCATAATCAAGATAATGAACATAGACATCACCCCCCCAACGTTTCCCCTTGCCTGTTTCGAATTCAATTTCTTTTTATCCCCACCCACCTTGCCTACAGGCAACCACTAATCTGCTTTCTGTATCTTAGTTAATATTTTCTAGAAATTGATGTAAATAGGTCCTAAACTATGTACTCCTTTATTTTTCTTTTGGCCTGGCTTCTTTCAATTAGCATAATTATTTTGAGAATCAACTATGTTGTTGGGTATATCAACAGTTCGTATGTTTTTATCATTGATAGTCTATGGTATTGATATACCACAATTAATGTATCCAGTCACCTTTGATGAACATTTGGATTGTTTCCAGTTTGGGGCTATTACAAAGACAGCTGTTATGAACATTCCTGTACAAGTCTTTGTGTAAACATATGTTCTCAGTTCTGTTGGGTAAATTCTTAGAAGTGGAATGACTGGGCCATATGGTAGGTGTAGGCTTAACTTTTTAAGAAAGCATCAAATGTTTTCAGAGTAGTTGTGCCATTTTACATCCCACCAACAATGTAGGATAGTTCCAGGTGTCCCACATCTATGATGAGTCTTTGTGATTACAGCCGTACTAGGAGTATTGTGGTACCCTCCTGGTGATTTCAATTTCCCTTTCTGGAATGACAAATGATATGTCCAGCATCTTTTCTTGTGATTATTTGCCTTCTGCATATATCTTTGGTGAAGTATATGTTCAAACATTTTATCCATTGTTTAACTGGTCTTTTTTTTTATTGAGTTTTGAGAGTTCTTTACATATTGTGGATACAAGCCGTTTATCATACATGCACTTTGCATATATTTTCTCCCAGTTTGTGCCTTGTTTTTTCATTCTCTTAACAATGTCTTTCAATGAGTAGATGATGTTAGTGTTCAAGATCAACCCAACAGTGTTTTGGAGTTTTTGGTGTGATATCTAAGAAATCTTTACCTAACTGAAGGTCACAAAGGTTTCCTCCTGTTTTCTTCTTTGTATGTATTTCAACTACATTCTCAAAGGAATGGAAAGTTGTGCATGTCCAAGGGATTTTTGGGTTTTGCTTTACAAAGCCCTTCCTCTTTGTCCTCTTGCCTATCCCACTTCCATTGTTGAAGGAAGCCTTCTTTTTTGCTGTAATAATATATAATCTAGAAAGAGAAGAACTTCCATTGTGTCTACTTTTTTTTTTAAAGTTTATTTATTTATTTGGAGAGAGACAGAGACAGCGTGAGCAGGGGAGGGGCAGAGACAAGGGGAGGATTCCAAGGAGGCTCTGAGCATGGTAAGCACAGAGTCTGATGCAGGGCTCAAATCCATGAAACTGTGGGATCATGACCTGAGCCGAGATCAAGAGTTGGACACTCAACCGAGCCACCCAGGCGCCCTCACTTCATCTGCCTTGCTAGAGGGAATTTAGTGGACATTTGGAATGCTCAATATCTGAAAACCTTTTCTGTTTGGGAAAAATCCCAAGATATTTAGAAGGTGAGGGGCAGCTATTCTCTTTCCCAATTTCTTGGCAACCAGTTCTCTAATATGCCCAAACCTAAGCCAGTCAAGGAGTGAGCAAGCAAATCAAACCAGCATGATAACCAAGAACAACTGAAAATACAATTCAAACATTTATTGCAATTTCTCAAAGAGCACCAAGTAGAAAGCAATAGATAACCTTTAGCAAAGTTCTTCAAATACCCTTTCTCACCTCACTCAGTTAGATTAGATTAAGTTATGCCAAAGTAACTAGCCACTCCAAAAGTCAGTGGCTTAAAACAACTCAGTGGTGTATTTAGCTCATATTGTCTCTAAGGGAGCTAGGCCGATGGAGTAGCCACCATTACAAAAGTTTAGGTTGCTGTCCAGAGGGTGGAAAGAGAGTTCTAGAGGGTCTCATACCACCAATTGAATGCTCTAGCCCAGAAATGTCACTATAACCTTTACTCTCAACTCACTACCAGAACTGTGGTTCCATCCAAACACAAGGGGCCAGAAGTGCAATCCTATTACGTTAGTTATCTGTAGCTGCAACGATGCTGTGAAAAAGCAACCACCAAAACTCGGTGGCATGCAACAATAAACATTTACTGCTCATTCATCTGGGATCGGCCAGGCTGTTAACTGCAGCATAAAGTTAACTAATAGAGTTAGTTAATGGTTCAGAACCATTGGTGTGGTTCTGAATTCTTCCAAAAGACCTATTGCATGCACCAGAAAATAATTTATTGCTAGCTTGGGTTAAAAAACTCTGGGAACTGGGGCGCCTGGGTGGCTCAGTCGGTTAAGCGTCCGACTTCAGCTCAGGTCACGATCTCGTGGTCTGTGAGTTCGAGCCCCGCGTTGGGCTCTGGGCTGATGGCTCAGAGCCTGGAGCCTGCTTCCGATTCTGTGTCTCCCTCTCTCTCTGCCCCTCCCCCGTTCATGCTCTGTCTCTCTCTGTCTCAAATATAAAACAAAAACATTAAAAAAAAAAAAAAACCTCTGGGAACTATTATAACAAGATTCTGTTTTATCTCCTTGGAAAAAGGGTTTATTTGCACATTAAAAGGAGTGTTGGTAAACAAAGATGTTGACAGCACTTAAAACACAATAAAGCACTGAGTGGGGTTGGGGAAGGGTACGGTAAGACTGTAGACATGGATATCCATGTCTATCCAGCGCTGTCCCTACCCCTGTCCCCCACCGCCTCCAAGCTCCTCAAATGCAGTATGACACACACTTCTGAGAAATGCTTCTAGCCCACCCCTCACTGGTCAAATGATTGGCTCAGGGGTGGGGCCTGACTCAGCTGGATCAACCAGAGCCCTTTTGGGGGGTTTTTAAAGTTGAGACCGAGGCCAGCAAGTTTCCTCCCTCTCTGGTAGACTGGGAGCTGCCAGAGACAGTACCTCCAACTTTGTGGTGAGAGCCAGTCTGAGACAGGGTAGCTAAAACTCAAAAAAAAAGGGGGGGGGGTAGGGGCAAG